CAGCAATTGCAAAAATGCAAAAGAGTCGGAGCGCATCAACACAGGTTAAAAATGCGTCCATTTGCTAAATCAAAACAAAGTAACTTTTTTCTTGTTATAGGGGAGAATTGATGCGTTCTTTTCCATTAATAAGACCGTCCATTCGGAACCCACGTCGGCAAAAAGAAAAGCCGAAGAGCAGAAGAAGACGACGAAAAAAAGAGGACCTCCGCTCAAAAAGCCAAAGTAAAGGGTAATATGTTACGGTAAATTGTATAGTCACTGCTTATAATTTTTGCATTGTATCCACCAAGTTCTACTATTAAGGTTTTGTCATTTTGATATGTTCGTCAAAATCTTTTTTTCTCACTAATTACATTGGATAAGACTTGTCTTTTCACCAATTACATTAAATATTGATTGATCTCTTGGGCTTTAAGAGTACTGCAGTGTTTGTAAATGATTCAGTGCTTGGAGCTTAATAAAGTTCTTTATTGAGCAATTACAAAACGCAATCTTTAATACGAATGAGTGCATCATCTTGGCAATTTTGCTAAGCCGATAAGTTGGGACCTCTGAAAATGAGCATCGGAAAAAAAAATGAAAATCAGGGGAAATCAACTGAACTCACCAACTGAATGATTTCCCTATCCTTTGCTTGAAGCTTGTCAATAAGAACATTAACAGCACCCAGTGACCCGAATTCACTGCATTCTGAAGTTTTCAAGGAGTATAGAAAGATTAACGCAAAACAATCTTTTTTTCGGCCGCTGTAATCCAGCAAATGCGAGGTTTTCTCTCAGAAATTTTAGTTTTGAGTTTTCACAAGTTTATTAAAGCATTTCAACATGCCATAAGCAGTGGCCATCTTGCTAATCGTGCCTAGTGCTATCGAATTTATGTCGGTTTGCAGACTGAAGTATGAGCTTTTCAGCCGAATATTCAAAATCTTGGTTTCCGTATCGCCAGTTGTGTCAACTCAATAGGATAGGGCTTGAAAGCAACGAAATTTTTTTTCTTCAAATGAGGAGAGATGAAATGAGGTGGTGGTATGCGAAACAGCTCTAAATACCTAGTACAATAAAGTTTTAAATGACCGCAAATTGTAAATGTCTCTACTTGTAATTGAAGCTAACTTGTCTTCTTTTTTTAGCATCTAATGTCAATTGTTCTTAGAAATGCTGAAAAGGCTGCATTTAGCCCTTGTACAGAATGTAAAGGTACCATTTTCTGTTTATGTATAACTATATAGACTAGTAACAAGTTAATCTACCGCAAGAACT